GAGGGAATGCTTTAAATGAAGAGGGTAGATTTACACTAGATATAAGGGAGATTATTTTTTTTTTTTTTTAACACAATAAGTGTGCTGAAACACTTCAACAGGTTGCCCAGAAAGATGGTCAATGACCCATCCCTGGAAACATTCAAGGTAAGTTGGATGGGGCTCTAAGCAACCTGATGTAGTTGAAGATGGCCCTTCTCACTGCAGGAGGGTTGGACCAGATGACCTTCTAAATAACTGTTCCCACCACACACAGAACTACAATCAAAGTGCTAATGCAGCTGATGCCTTTCCCTCAGATAAAGTAGACCTGAACTCCTCAACAGCTAGATCTCCATTAATAAACAAAAAAAGAAATCCTTTGGGCATCCTAGTTTCACAGAGACACGGTGTTATAACCCCCTCTCCTGGACATCCTCCCCAAAAGATTAACAAAAGCACTTTGAAATTAGTCTAACAAGGATACACATAATCCTGTGGAGAAGGGATCTAAGCCACTTCACGTCCATTTGTGGTTATGCACTAACAGAGGTGTGGCAGCTGCATCCCAGCAACAACTGTGCTTTTGTTATGTATTTAACTGCAGAGCAGCTGTACAGGAAATCTGATTACTAGAGATCATGGTGTAAAACTCACACACTTTCAATGAAACCAAAGTTTCTACTCTGCCTCTACTCTGTCTCCTCTCTACGTGTCTCTACTCTGTCTTCAGCTCTCCTCAGGGTGTCGAGGCCTGGACAGAGAAGCACAATGTACACATCATTTACAGAGCACCTGCAGAAAACCACAGCCTGTGCCTACATGCTTGCAAGCCTGACACCCCTGCTGGACCCAAACACACCAAACACCCTGAAGAGAGGGCCAATTAAATACAGTTTACATTCTTCATGGCACATATAGGGTATTAGTGCTGTTCTAGAGTATGCCAACAATTTATCATAGTATGGTTCAGAATAGAAGAAACCTTAAAGATCATCGAGTTCCACTAATTTATCATAGAATGGTTCAGTATAGAAGAAACCTTAAAGATTATCGAGTTCCAACTCGATAGGGACACCTCCCACCAGACCAGGTTGCTCCAAGCCCCATCCAGCCTGGCCTTGAACCCCTCCAGGGATGGGGCAGCCACAGCTTCTCTGGGCAACCTGTTCCAGTGTCTCACCACCCTCACAGGAAACAATTTCCTTCTAAGATCTAGTCTAAATCTCCCCTCTTTCAGTTTAAAACTGCTACCCCTCGTCCTATCACTACACTCCCTGATAAAGAATCCCCATTTAATTTACCACAAGCCAACTAATGCCCCCAGTTAAGAGTGTGGACAAAAGAAGAGGAGAAACTGTGAGTTATTTACCAGGCTGTCACATTGCCAGTGGAAACCATGTAGCAGATGAATGCACCTGCTTAATTCACATTACTATTTTTATCTTCATTATTATGCAGATACTAGCTCTGTGAGGTTAACTACACAGACACTTTACATTTTTTTCCCCTAAAAAAAAAAAGAAGTAGTTTTAAATATTTTTGCAACAGGTATTTGGGGAATCTTAAGTTTTTGTCATTTTATTACTACTGTTTTAAAACTTATTGTGACTTGGATAACTTTTTGTTTGGGCGAAAAGCAAGGTTCAGGGTTCAGTCACATTGCAGGTTTTAAAACCAGCTTCAGAGAGGAAGGAAAACCCTGGTTTTCTGGATCTACCAGATGTGTCTTTCAAGATGTTTATACGTCTAGTGGGGGGAAAAAAAAAAAATAATCAAATCACATTGACCACCTGCCACACTGAAGAGACCACTCTAAACAATGTCAAAAGATACAGCATCTTTAGAGCAATGCCCTGTTTAGTGTTTTGTTACTTCTGCCCCAACAATCACAGGGCCCAAACTTTATATATAGAAAACTTGTATTTTAGTGTAACAGATTAAGACATTTATCCACATTTTTTCTAAAATATCTCTTTAAGGAAAAAATAAAAACAAACAACCCAAACATAACTCAACTGCAGCTAAAAAAAAAACAAAAAACCAAAACCAAACAACCCAAACATAACTCAACTGCAGCTTTGCTCAGCCTCAGTGTTAGCCATCAAATGCTAGCAGGCACTAGATACGTGCCTAGAAAATATCTAGAAAGTATCTAGAAAACAAAGGGAATAAAAGCATTATTCCTTCAAAACTGGATTGCCTAGAAAGTATCTAGAAAACAAATGGAATAAAAGCATTATTCCTTCAAAACTGGAGTTCCTTAATCCTTTTTATTCCTTCTTTTGCGTAGAAAAAGAAGGGAATCATTTTATTTTGGTATGAAAGCAGGAAACCCTACACTCTGGGGGTCCACTGTACTGTAAATTATATTTATTTTATTTAGGTCAGTAAAATTGTTGCAACCTTTGCCCACACCCTACACTCCTGTCGGCACTAACTGCTAGAAAGTCAGTTTTCAAAGTTACGTGCCAGATAAAGGCTTTTTCAGATAACGTGTGGAAAAACAGCGGCATTAAGTGGTTTGTTGGATTACTGACAATAAAACATACCTAAAAGCAACACCAGGGAGCATAGCAGCAGCTCGGTTCCTATTCAAAGAGAGGCATCAAACAAATCTCTAGGTGTTTATCCAACAAGTTCACCTGAAATTCACTGGTAGACCAGCACATTTTCAGATTAATGGTTCAACGGACCCACCGTACTGTAAATTATATTTATTTTATTTAGGTCAGTAAAATTGTTGCAACCTTTGCCCACACCCTACACTCCTGTCGGCACTAACTGCTAGAAAGTCAGTTTTCAAAGTTACGTGCCAGATAAAGGCTTTTTCAGATAACGTGTGGAAAAACAGCGGCATTAAGTGGTTTGTTGGATTACTGACAATAAAACATACCTAAAAGCAACACCAGGGAGCATAGCAGCAGCTCGGTTCCTATTCAAAGAGAGGCATCAAACAAATCTCTAGGTGTTTATCCAACAAGTTCACCTGAAATTCACTGGTAGACCAGCACATTTTCAGATTAATGGTTCAACGGTTTTACAATAAAACAGCATTCACGGATAGTCAATCTTCAATTACAAATGCAATACACAGGAGCATTTGCTACCTAACTGGAAAAATAAAGTAATATAATGGTTTCTAAAGCCTAAAAACACACTGAAGAACATCTTTTGCACCACTGAAATAGAGGGGAAAACGAAAAAGCCAGTTTGTTACCCCTTGAACAAAAGTTTAACCGAAACTCATTAAAAGACATTGTGAGAATGCACTGCCACAGGAAAGTATGGCAAATACTTCTCTTACCCAACCTCTAATATAAGTTCCCCAGAGCTGTGGCAGAACACAGCACCACAGGACATAGCTCAGTTAAGCCCTCTGTAATTTGGAGTATCACTTATGCTGTGACATAAAGCACCGTGCATCCCACTCTTTAAGCCACCAGGACATACCTCAGGATGTACACTACACACCAACACCTCAAAAACATTTCCCATTTGTTTACACCAGTAAGAATTATCATGTTTAAACAGACTCACCCACCCCTTAGTGATAATTCAATTCATCCCATTTTGCTAAGCAATTCCAAAATGACCATCAAGTAACATTTGTTGACCAAGTGGGATTAAGAGGTATAATGCGCTTTTTTTTCTACAAACCTCAACTTTTTAAGCTATCAAACTACCAAGCAAATGACTTTTTAACCAGAAAAGAAAAAACAAGGAAAAAAAAAATCTAAAGTGAGTAAAAGGTCACATTAAGTTACTTATTTCTGTTTAATTTTAACCACTCGAAGCATTTTTAAATAATCCATTCAACCATTACTAGGAGCAGACAGCTGTTTCTAGCTCTGACGCTGGAAATAGAGCATTGCTGAGTACTGGTAAAAGACAACAGGGTTTTAGGCACAAGGAAGGCAGGACTGCTGAAAGTTTACATTCCATTGGTTAATGTCGCAAGCCAGTGAGAATGCCTACAGACTGGAATGAAAGACAAACAAAACCAAAACAGTTTGATAGCAAGTCCAAAAAAAAAAAAAAATGTTTTGAAAACACAAAAGGAAAAGGTGCTTTGCAAAATACTGGTATCAGACCCAATAAAGTAAACTGCCCAAAGCGTGCATTTTGCCCCAGAATCTGAAAGGGGAGAGCCAGAAGATGAATCATTAAAAGAGAGTCTATTCAACCTTAGCAGGAATGGTCTCATGGCTTCAAGAAAGCACTCAAGTTAATAGTACTCTTTGGTAGTGTTTCTCAGAGCTAGCTCCAGTTTAATTAACTGTGTGTGTTGACAAATACAGAAGTAGAGACTCTCCTTTTGCACCAGTAATATTCTTCCTTACCCTGTATTTTTTTCAGTTGATCCCTTACTAACTTGAGCATTGCAAAAGAGCATAACTAGTATCAAGGTGAGACTGAATCACTTCAGCTAAAACCAGCCTAAAAGTTGATTTTGGGGAACTTCTGTGTCTCCAGTCAGTATAACTTCCTTAATGCAATACCCCAACTAATTTAAAACAAAATTACCGTGACTTGACAAAAACTGTCTTTCCAAACTACGAGTTGAAAATACTGCAAAGATGGTTTGCACCTAGTATTTCCTCTTCCTTAGGCAAATTAAAGAACATAGATTCCAACTCTGAAACTGAAGACTGGAAGTCTGAAGAGATGGATCCCTGCATCATGTAATATTTCGCTTGTCTAGCTTGAGGAAGGAAAAAAAAGATGTCATTGAGACACCCAATGCGGTGAATTCAACTGTCTTCAGAAACCTGGTTTCTGAAATAGAGCTGAAAGCATCTTTTCCTCTATGAAAGTTAAAAGAGGAGAGGGGGGGAAATATTTAAAAAAAATTTAAAAATCATGCACCAGGTTTTAGTATGTCAAGAAAAGGTAATGTAGACATTCTCTATAGAAATGATCATGCAATCATTTCTGAAAATGGTTACAAAAAGTAGCAAAGCGTGAAACGTGTAGTTGAGAGGACAACTTCATGCAGAATGGGTTTGTGCAGTACATACCCAGATAGGATCTCTTGGGAGGTGCTTTGATTTCTTCATCCTTACTATCTGCAGCTACATAAAAAGAGTTGAAGGGGGGAAAAAAAAAAAAAGGAAGACAAAGAGACTTGTATGATTAAATGCAGCAGTGGGTCTTTTAGTTACACTTTAGTCAGTTAGTATATTTTTCTTATAAAAAAAAATAATAGCCAAAACAAAACATGCTAGAAATTTTAGTCTCCATGCTTTCTATAAGGCTCCCACCCCTTGATGTTAATATAGGGCCGAACAGTAGGAAGTCCCAGCACAGTCTCAACGTACAACACAACAGGGATATACCTAGAGGGAGAAAAGGAAGACTTAAAGAAGCAGACAGTTTAACTCTTAACTTTATATACTTTTCATGATCAGAGAAAACAAGGTGTTACCTCAGCAACACTGTGTAGATATGTATGTATAATCAGTTAAGACAATACAGTTCTGTTCTAAAATAATTTCAAAAGGCTTGAGCTTAAGCCAGCCGTATCAAGAAGGACAGAGCAGACCCCATCTGCAACCATTTTCCATGATGAATTTTTTCACTCTAGCCTTCCTCTGCCAGTTAAAAACCCTGTATTATGCAAGAGTGCTTTCCAGTGCCAAAAGCAGAGATCTGCAAGGGATCAGAGTGCTATAATAAGGTACAAGTTATAAAGCAGGTTAAGACAACCAGCAGTTGGAAAGAAGACAAATCTGCATGAATGACCAGAGGAAACCATCTTCACGTAACAACACGAGAGCCCATGTTCTACTTAAGGAGCCTGGATTTTACTATAAGAAGAGTTTTTAAGAAACACTGTCCCCTGGTTTTCAGCATAGTTCAGACATTCAGAGTGCTCAAAACCTGTCACAATGTCTTGGGCATAACCGAAATGGAGTGTTTGTTGGAGAATGGTAGAAGGCTTATTTGGGGAAAGAAAAAGAGAGCTCTTCACAGAGTGTCTGTCTCTCTAAGAATATGAAGAGACTGGTCTGGCCTGCCAACATTTTCATGAGTGACCAGATGGTTTTTAGCTGTCTGTACCTGTGAGGACCTTGCTTGGGCTTCCTGAAAAGGCCCTGATTCTCCAGGCAAGACACGGGATGTGCACAGTTTGCTTTTCAGTATCTAGCTCTCTAGCATGGTAGCACCATCACGCCACAGAAAATCAAAAACAACTCTAACAAAAAGAACCACCACTGACCTTTGAGCCTTTCTATACCAAGCTAACAACACAGCACGCACATAGGGCTGCACAGACACCAATTTAAAAGTGGGCAATGAATAAGGAGAGCTATTGTTACCACAACAATGATACCAGGAGATCTGCAAATAAAGCAGTCAAGATGCAATCAAAGTAGCGTTAAATAAAGGATAAAAGATGAGGAGGTATTGTTCATGCCTGCTGATTTCATCTGAAGACTCCTTCCCATAGCTTTTAAAGTATTCACACACAGGAGAGAGAACCCTCTATAATGGGAGGTTTTAAAATAAAGGGGTTTTTTTGTTGTTTTCTTGTTTTGTTTGATTTTTTTTTTCCAGTTCAGACAAGCTGAAAGAGGCTATCTATTCTAAGTTTAAAAAATAATCTAACAGTTGGATATATAAAGAAGACTTACTCTGTCTTCATTCAATCAGCACATGTAATTAAAGGATAAAGTTTTTGTATCCAGAACAAGATATCAGAGAAGAAGGCAGCAGCAGCACAAGATGGGCTCCACCACTTTCAACTTACTTTCACTCTGCAACGCTAAAAGGAAGGGGGAATGGGAAATGGGAAAAAGGGAGATCCCATAACTGAGAGAAATAATAAAAGATTACACAAGTTTTCCTAATAAATTCTCTATATAGACCCTACAATAAATAATCAAATATTACTGAATAGAGTCCAGGAAGACTGTCTTTTTCATGCTATGATAGTTACCCGATAAATGAAAGCACAAGCAGTTCCACCAAATGGCTTTATGTCTACATTCTGAATTGCTATTGATATGTATTTTAACCCAGTAAGGCCACAAAATGGGCAAGGGAATATAAAACAACTTGACAGGATTAGGAGAGGCTGCTCCTTAATGCTGCAAGAAATTTTTAAGCAGAAACCTTCTGAACTAGTTATTTCTTAAGGCATCTCACCTGTGAGAATAGTAAAAACAAGGGGAAAAAAGGCAACTCCCACATAATTCAAAACATGCTGGTAAACATATACTAATGTGACTGGGGGTAAATACTGCATTTAATAGTAATACAAGAAAACAGCAAACTCCCTTCCACAGAAATATTCTATTCACTTTCTAAATATTTTGGACTATTTTGCAGGAACATTCAGAGGGAAGATAGAAATTAACGAAGAAAAATGTTTAAATTGAAGACCAGCCATGTGAGAAATAGGAAATTATATTATCATACAGAAATTGTGCACCTTCCCCTCAGGATTCTGCGAGGTTAATCAAAAACACCAACTTCAAAACTAGCTTCTTGCTGCCCCAGTAAGCTATGCGGAAAGAAAGTAAGTACACAGATTTATCAGCTTGCCTAGATCACCATAAAATTTAAGAGATAAGATTAGGAGTAAGATTAGAAACATGGATCTCACTCCTACTCCTATTGTGCTTGAAATACGAACCTTTCTGACGCTTTTTAAAGTAGCTTTGTGTGCATTTATATGTTTATTCTGAGCCATTGCATTATAGTTTGCCTCGCTAAAAATCAATCACAGCTGAGAAAAAGATTTTAGCTGTTTCAAAGTTTGCAGGAGGATGCAAGCCTCTGATGAGAGCAAACAATGAAAGCAGGCAAAAACCAGTCTCTCTCAGTAATTAAATACATGACAAGCTGAGTTTCAGGGAAAAGGATGAAACGACACAATGCAACCTTGAGGAATTGCCATTACCTGGTAAGGGAATGACTGATTATCCTTTAAGAGAATGTATGTCTTCCGGGGAGAGTTGTTTAAAGAGGGCTATATACTAAAGTGAATGGCCTCCCTTTTTGTACAAAGGTTACCTTAGGAGCCTGCAAGAGCGTGTGTGTAAACGTGCATGAAGATAATTTCCCCTCAGAAAGGGCAAACAGAGAAACCTTTCTGCCAGTTCCCCAAGTGCTAACACACGGAGCAAAGGAGGGAGAAAGCACACATGCCCCTCCCGAGTGCTTCCTGGATTCTAACTGCCGCTAAATCTGGCTGGAAATAGTTTTCAAGTCATTCATCCGGCCAGACTAACAAGCCTTGTGAACACAGCAGCTTCTCTTTAGGAGCTGGAGTGCTCCTCTTCTGCATGAATTCACTTACCTGAATAGTTTCACACTCCACTCCACAATGAGTGGAAATGGAAGTAGCTTCCTTAGCTATCAGATAAATTACCCTACCGCACAGCCAGTAGATGCCTCCTTCTAATGATGGCTGTGGAAATCTGGAACTGAATCAGACCCTCAATTATTAGGGAGGGAGGGAAGAGAACAGACCCTTGAACAAAAGTTTAACCGAAACTCATTAAAAGACATTGTGAGAATGCACTGCCACAGGAAAGTATGGCAAATACTTCTCTTACCCAACCTCTAATATAAGTTCCCCAGAGCTGTGGCAGAACACAGCACCACAGGACATAGCTCAGTTAAGCCCTCTGTAATTTGGAGTATCACTTATGCTGTGACATAAAGCACCGTGCATCCCACTCTTTAAGCCACCAGGACATACCTCAGGATGTACACTACACACCAACACCTCAAAAACATTTCCCATTTGTTTACACCAGTAAGAATTATCATGTTTAAACAGACTCACCCACCCCTTAGTGATAATTCAATTCATCCCATTTTGCTAAGCAATTCCAAAATGACCATCAAGTAACATTTGTTGACCAAGTGGGATTAAGAGGTATAATGCGCTTTTTTTTCTACAAACCTCAACTTTTTAAGCTATCAAACTACCAAGCAAATGACTTTTTAACCAGAAAAGAAAAAACAAGGAAAAAAAAAATCTAAAGTGAGTAAAAGGTCACATTAAGTTACTTATTTCTGTTTAATTTTAACCACTCGAAGCATTTTTAAATAATCCATTCAACCATTACTAGGAGCAGACAGCTGTTTCTAGCTCTGACGCTGGAAATAGAGCATTGCTGAGTACTGGTAAAAGACAACAGGGTTTTAGGCACAAGGAAGGCAGGACTGCTGAAAGTTTACATTCCATTGGTTAATGTCGCAAGCCAGTGAGAATGCCTACAGACTGGAATGAAAGACAAACAAAACCAAAACAGTTTGATAGCAAGTCCAAAAAAAAAAAAAATGTTTTGAAAACACAAAAGGAAAAGGTGCTTTGCAAAATACTGGTATCAGACCCAATAAAGTAAACTGCCCAAAGCGTGCATTTTGCCCCAGAATCTGAAAGGGGAGAGCCAGAAGATGAATCATTAAAAGAGAGTCTATTCAACCTTAGCAGGAATGGTCTCATGGCTTCAAGAAAGCACTCAAGTTAACAGTACTCTTTGGTAGTGTTTCTCAGAGCTAGCTCCAGTTTAATTAACTGTGTGTGTTGACAAATACAGAAGTAGAGACTCTCCTTTTGCACCAGTAATATTCTTCCTTACCCTGTATTTTTTTCAGTTGATCCCTTACTAACTTGAGCATTGCAAAAGAGCATAACTAGTATCAAGGTGAGACTGAATCACTTCAGCTAAAACCAGCCTAAAAGTTGATTTTGGGGAACTTCTGTGTCTCCAGTCAGTATAACTTCCTTAATGCAATACCCCAACTAATTTAAAACAAAATTACCGTGACTTGACAAAAACTGTCTTTCCAAACTACGAGTTGAAAATACTGCAAAGATGGTTTGCACCTAGTATTTCCTCTTCCTTAGGCAAATTAAAGAACATAGATTCCAACTCTGAAACTGAAGACTGGAAGTCTGAAGAGATGGATCCCTGCATCATGTAATATTTCGCTTGTCTAGCTTGAGGAAGGAAAAAAAAGATGTCATTGAGACACCCAATGCGGTGAATTCAACTGTCTTCAGAAACCTGGTTTCTGAAATAGAGCTGAAAGCATCTTTTCCTCTATGAAAGTTAAAAGAGGAGAGGGGGGGAAATATTTAAAAAAAATTTAAAAATCATGCACCAGGTTTTAGTATGTCAAGAAAAGGTAATGTAGACATTCTCTATAGAAATGATCATGCAATCATTTCTGAAAATGGTTACAAAAAGTAGCAAAGCGTGAAACGTGTAGTTGAGAGGACAACTTCATGCAGAATGGGTTTGTGCAGTACATACCCAGATAGGATCTCTTGGGAGGTGCTTTGATTTCTTCATCCTTACTATCTGCAGCTACATAAAAAGAGTTGAAGGGGGAAAAAAAAAAAAAAGGAAGACAAAGAGACTTGTATGATTAAATGCAGCAGTGGGTCTTTTAGTTACACTTTAGTCAGTTAGTATATTTTTCTTATAAAAAAAAATAATAGCCAAAACAAAACATGCTAGAAATTTTAGTCTCCATGCTTTCTATAAGGCTCCCACCCCTTGATGTTAATATAGGGCCGAACAGTAGGAAGTCCCAGCACAGTCTCAACGTACAACACAACAGGGATATACCTAGAGGGAGAAAAGGAAGACTTAAAGAAGCAGACAGTTTAACTCTTACTTTATATACTTTTCATGATCAGAGAAAACAAGCTGTTACCTCAGCAATGCTGTGTGGATATGTATGTATAATCAGTTAAGACAATACAGTTCTGTTCTAAAATAATTTCAAAAGGCTTGAGCTTAAGCCAGCCGTATCAAGAAGGACAGAGCAGACCCCATCTGCAACCATTTTCCATGATGAATTTTTTCACTCTAGCCTTCCTCTGCCAGTTAAAAACCCTGTATTATGCAAGAGTGCTTTCCAGTGCCAAAAGCAGAGATCTGCAAGGGATCAGAGTGCTATAATAAGGTACAAGTTATAAAGCAGGTTAAGACAACCAGCAGTTGGAAAGAAGACAAATCTGCATGAATGACCAGAGGAAACCATCTTCACGTAACAACACGAGAGCCCATGTTCTACTTAAGGAGCCTGGATTTTACTATAAGAAGAGTTTTTAAGAAACACTGTCCCCTGGTTTTCAGCATAGTTCAGACATTCAGAGTGCTCAAAACCTGTCACAATGTCTTGGGCATAACCGAAATGGAGTGTTTGTTGGAGAATGGTACCTGTCACAACGTCTTGGGCATAACCGAAATGGAGTGTTTGTTGGAGAATGGTAGAAGGCTTATTTGGGGAAAGAAAAAGAGAGCTCTTCACAGAGTGTCTGTCTCTCTAAGAATATGAAGAGACTGGTCTGGCCTGCCAACATTTTCATGAGTGACCAGATGGTTTTTAGCTGTCTGTACCTGTGAGGACCTTGCTTGGGCTTCCTGAAAAGGCCCTGATTCTCCAGGCAAGACACGGGATGTGCACAGTTTGCTTTTCAGTATCTAGCTCTCTAGCATGGTAGCACCATCACGCCACAGAAAATCAAAAACAACTCTAACAAAAAGAACCACCACTGACCTTTGAGCCTTTCTATACCAAGCTAACAACACAGCACGCACATAGGGCTGCACAGACACCAATTTAAAAGTGGGCAATGAATAAGGAGAGCTATTGTTACCACAACAATGATACCAGGAGATCTGCAAATAAAGCAGTCAAGATGCAATCAAAGTAGCGTTAAATAAAGGATAAAAGATGAGGAGGTATTGTTCATGCCTGCTGATTTCATCTGAAGACTCCTTCCCATAGCTTTTAAAGTATTCACACACAGGAGAGAGAACCCTCTATAATGGGAGGTTTTAAAATAAAGGGGTTTTTTTGTTGTTTTCTTGTTTTGTTTGATTTTTTTTTTCCAGTTCAGACAAGCTGAAAGAGGCTATCTATTCTAAGTTTAAAAAATAATCTAACAGTTGGATATATAAAGAAGACTTACTCTGTCTTCATTCAATCAGCACATGTAATTAAAGGATAAAGTTTTTGTATCCAGAACAAGATATCAGAGAAGAAGGCAGCAGCAGCACAAGATGGGCTCCACCACTTTCAACTTACTTTCACTCTGCAACGCTAAAAGGAAGGGGGAATGGGAAATGGGAAAAAGGGAGATCCCATAACTGAGAGAAATAATAAAAGATTACACAAGTTTTCCTAATAAATTCTCTATATAGACCCTACAATAAATAATCAAATATTACTGAATAGAGTCCAGGAAGACTGTCTTTTTCATGCTATGATAGTTACCCGATAAATGAAAGCACAAGCAGTTCCACCAAATGGCTTTATGTCTACATTCTGAATTGCTATTGATATGTATTTTAACCCAGTAAGGCCACAAAATGGGCAAGGGAATATAAAACAACTTGACAGGATTAGGAGAGGCTGCTCCTTAATGCTGCAAGAAATTTTTAAGCAGAAACCTTCTGAACTAGTTATTTCTTAAGGCATCTCACCTGTGAGAATAGTAAAAACAAGGGGAAAAAAGGCAACTCCCACATAATTCAAAACATGCTGGTAAACATATACTAATGTGACTGGGGGTAAATACTGCATTTAATAGTAATACAAGAAAACAGCAAACTCCCTTCCACAGAAATATTCTATTCACTTTCTAAATATTTTGGACTATTTTGCAGGAACATTCAGAGGGAAGATAGAAATTAACGAAGAAAAATGTTTAAATTGAAGACCAGCCATGTGAGAAATAGGAAATTATATTATCATACAGAAATTGTGCACCTTCCCCTCAGGATTCTGCGAGGTTAATCAAAAACACCAACTTCAAAACTAGCTTCTTGCTGCCCCAGTAAGCTATGCGGAAAGAAAGTAAGTACACAGATTTATCAGCTTGCCTAGATCACCATAAAATTTAAGAGATAAGATTAGGAGTAAGATTAGAAACATGGATCTCACTCCTACTCCTATTGTGCTTGAAATACGAACCTTTCTGACGCTTTTTAAAGTAGCTTTGTGTGCATTTATATGTTTATTCTGAGCCATTGCATTATAGTTTGCCTCGCTAAAAATCAATCACAGCTGAGAAAAAGATTTTAGCTGTTTCAAAGTTTGCAGGAGGATGCAAGCCTCTGATGAGAGCAAACAATGAAAGCAGGCAAAAACCAGTCTCTCTCAGTAATTAAATACATGACAAGCTGAGTTTCAGGGAAAAGGATGAAACGACACAATGCAACCTTGAGGAATTGCCATTACCTGGTAAGGGAATGACTGATTATCCTTTAAGAGAATGTACGTCTTCCGGGGAGAGTTGTTTAAAGAGGGCTATATACTAAAGTGAATGGCCTCCCTTTTTGTACAAAGGTTACCTTAGGAGCCTGCAAGAGCGTGTGTGTAAACGTGCATGAAGATAATTTCCCCTCAGAAAGGGCAAACAGAGAAACCTTTCTGCCAGTTCCCCAAGTGCTAACACACGGAGCAAAGGAGGGAGAAAGCACACATGCCCCTCCCGAGTGCTTCCTGGATTCTAACTGCCGCTAAATCTGGCTGGAAATAGTTTTCAAGTCATTCATCCGGCCAGACTAACAAGCCTTGTGAACACAGCAGCTTCTCTTTAGGAGCTGGAGTGCTCCTCTTCTGCATGAATTCACTTACCTGAATAGTTTCACACTCCACTCCACAATGAGTGGAAATGGAAGTAGCTTCCTTAGCTACTAGATAAACTACCCTACCGCACAGCCAGTAGATGCCTCCTTCTAATGATGGCTGTGGAAATCTGGAACTGAATCAGACCCTCAATTATTAGGGAGGGAGGGAAGAGAACAGATGGAGAGAATAAATTATACATCCGTATTGGCAAAACAACTGACAAAAAGCTGACAGCATTAATTCTGTTCTTGTTGGTAATAAGCTGTAACATAAAATGTTATGTGTCAAAGCCAACCCAGAGAAACACAAAACTACCCCTCTCGCATTTCGTATCTGGGAAAAAAAAAAAAAAGCAGGGACTTTCCAAAAAGCTTGAACATTTCATTAAATAAGGAATAACACTCTGGCCTCGACTGAAATTATCAATGCCTAAAAATTAACAAATAACCAAAATTTTTTAAAAATGTGAAAATTCCAATAAATCCCAATTAATCACGTACTTAAGCCAATACAAATGGTATATAAAATGACATAGTTTTGCAACAGTGATATGACAGCACTTCCTATTTTGACAGCAAATAACTCAGTAAGCAGAACATAAATTACGAACAGATATTTAACCCCCAAGAAAAAGGTATACAAAAAGACATAGTTTTGCAACAGTGATATGACAGCACTTCCTATTTTGACAGCAAATAACTCAGTAAGCAGAACATAAATTACGAACAGAAGCAAGTGTTTGCAATTGCAAAATAAAATTTGAGGTAATAGTGTATAACCATACATAAGAACTTGGTAGGAAGTACAGCTGAAGAAAATAACTTTTTATTCTGGCCAAGATCTTAAAAAAAAAAAAATCCAGGCTAGCACAACGGCATATCAGCCAGCTATATATTCAGGGTGTGGTGCGAAATACTGCAGAGAATTCCAATTTCTATACTGAATCAAGACCTATCTGAAATAAAATTACAGCTTTACATACTTCTCGTAGCGGTTTTAAAAAAAAAGTTCAGGAATTGCTACACTGCATTATCAAGAAAGAGGACTGGATTGCAATGCAGAACAGAACTTTTGTCCAAAATACAGTGCACCATGCTTTCAAAAAGATTTATTCTGCAAAAGCCAGTTCCTGTCACTAACCTGCGAAAGAGCGTCGTTTTATGTTTAGCTCGTTGGACACCCGTACTTCAGTGCACAGTTTCAGCATCAGTAACATAGTCATGATCATGATAATGCTTTGCCACAAAAGAGGGGATTCAAAACGCCTTCCAAACCTAAAAAGAAAAAAAAAAAAAAAGGAAAATATATAAAACATCACAAAGATGACAAGCTTTGTACTCGGTTACTTTCATTCTTTGATCCTACCTAAGCACCTGAAAAAGGAAATTCTAATGGTAACAGGTATGAAAGGCTGAGGAAGAGAAAGTCACCAGTCAAATCTAGATGCACAGACAGTAACTCAGAGCCACAATCGCCTTGCAGGAGTATTTAAGAACCTTATTACAACATCCCTGTGGACTGATCCTCAAAATTACAAAACGGGAAGCTTGAGTCTCTGTTTCCAAGGCCAGCAGAAAACCTTTGGTTTTGAAAGGAGCAGCAGATTCACTAAGCAGTACGGAGAGACCAGGGAGTTACACCGTGTTAATTAATATCAGTTAGGTGTCCTCTCCACATACACACCCCATACAGATTTCACAAGGACTTCTGTGCAAAACTTACCTCTCTCAATTTTTTTTCATTTTTAAAATGAAGTCATAAAACCAATAGCACTTGCCCTATAAAGAAATAAATACCCACAGCTTGCTAGGTTTACATGGCAACTTCCGAAGGGGCAGGGGGAAGTATTAGATGTCCAGAGGCAGACAGAGCATGAGTGGAAAGACCCAGAGAACATACCAAACCATGAATTTATGTCTAGTCTGGAACAAGGATGGGGGGAAAGTAAGGAATTCTATGATCCTAAGTCCAAAAGATGTAGGAACCAAATATACATCATTTGTCCTCTCCTGTCCTCCCCTCTCCTCCCAGTTTAATTTCTGCTTGCTCTTCTGCAAGCAAGATGATGGTTGGTGAGGATTACTGAGCCCTTCCTGCATGTAACACAGAGAGGTGAAGTTGGATTGTGGCCAGTCTTGACTGGAGAGCTTACTCTTACGTGATCACACACGGTTCTGCACAAGAATATGAGACCCTTCAGTGAGGACCACAGAATCAGAATCTTCTAGGTTGGAAGGGACTTTAAAGATCATCTTGTCCAACCGTCAACCTAACTGACAAAAACAGACACCCACACAACAAACAAGGAGCATCATCACTAAACCATACCTCCCAGCACTACATCAACCCGTCTTTTGAACACCTCCAGGGATGGTGCCTCAACCACCTTCCTGGGCAGCCCATTCCAATGGCTGATAATCCATTCAGTGAAAAATTTTTTCCTAATATCCAGCCTGAACCTCCCCTGGCGCAACTTGAGGCCATTTCCTCTTGTCCTGTCACCTGTGACTTGAGAAAAGAGACCGACCCCCACCTCTCTACACCCTCCTTTCAGGGAGTTGTAGAGAGCAATAAGGACCAGTGATGTTCCAAGCTGCTCTTCCTGCATTACTTGATGAAAGCTCAGCAACCCTCACCACACACGCTCGGTAAGTGCATTAGGGGTAAAGGGTAGAAGGTTTTCATCCACAGCCCTCAAAGTCCATTGGATTTACAACAGGAAGGCTACAGGCACGCACATCGCAGTGAGCTGCTTCTCTGCGCTCAGTTCTGCCAGGTTTTGTCTTGAAGACAGAGATGCTGAGGAAGGGATTTGGTGAAAACACACTGCTGTGCTCCCCAACTCCTCCAGCTTGCACCATGAGGCACACAGGCTTTCTGAATTCCTTCCCTCTACAGTTTCTAAGGCCGTTCTCTGAGTGCTCCACCACTGCCCTTGTCTTAATAGTTCCTGTTTCACAGCACCCTGGCAAAATATAGTTTCATCTGCTTGGGCTACTTTCATAGCAGAGCTCCGTGTTAGTAAAAATCAACTAGGCTCACAGGCACACTCCCTCAAACAAACATTTCCACTATAGCCATTTCACTACAGAGAGATTTCTTTGTCATGAGTCAATAAGGCACAGGAGAGAGACTAGAAAGTCCTTGACTAGCTTCCTCAGAAACAGCCAAGCAGCCCATACTAATTAAAACGGCTAAGCATTTCCTGCCTAATGGCATACAGCTAAGGAAAAGTATGACAATGCCAAAGACACCACCAGCAGCTACTGGAAGAAGAGCAGTTGCACGTAGTGTACCTTAGCCCCCCACTTCTTCCTACCGTCGATGGATTTGTGGTGGGCCACACGAGAGCCATTATCATAACAAATCTGGAGGATGGTATGAGGAAGGAAATAAAGAACAAAACTGATGCATGTAATCACAGGCAGAGTGCTCTCTGGATAAAGCTGCACTGCACTAGGGAAAAAAGCAGAGGAGAACAAAAGTTTGGTCCTGCCTATGACCCCTGCCCATGATCACAAAACTCATTCAGCACGCGCTGCTGACTGTGGCCAAGTTCTCCTGAACTACTGAAATTTGCTACTGTTCTATTTGTCTCTTATCCAGGGAATGAGAAAAACAAAATGGGAAAGGCTTACTATTACAGAGCAGTTAAAACTGTTTACATTAGCCTTTTAAAACCATCTCCAATTACCACTGCATTTACATGTAAAAATACAGTAAGGCATTTAAGAAGGGCTGAGCTAACAGGACAATTAAGCTAGAAGCTATTATGCTGGTAAACCCAGCGCAGGTCACTGCAAGGTTGCCTTCTCCCTGCTGATGAGATTATTGGCCATGCAGCAATGGGTGCCTCACAAAAGCATTGCTTGGGGTACAAACATCCACCCACTACACACACACATAAGCACGGTCACCTCCTGTCTGATCTGATCGGGACAATGTGCCAACACCACAACCTTACTGGAAATGAGAGTATGGAGCACTGTGTCCAGCTCTGGAGTCCTCGACACAGGAAGGACATGGACCTGTTGGAAGGGGTCCAGCAGAGGGCCACAAAAATGATGAGACGGCTGGAGTATCTCTTCTATGAAGGCTCCAGGGAGACCTTATAGCAGCTTTCCAATATCTGAAGGTAGCCTACAGGAGAGCTGGAGAGGGACTTTATCTGGAAGTGTAGTCACAGGACAAGGGGTAATGGTTTTAAATTGGAAGAGGAGAGATTTGGATTAGATATTAGGAAGAAATTCTTCCCTGTGAGGGTGGTGAGACACTGGCACTGGTCATCAGGAAGTGTAGTCACAGGACAAGGGTTAATGGGTTTAAATTGGAAGAGGAGAGATTTAGATTAGATATTAGGAAGAAATTCTTCCCTGTGAGGGTGGTGAAGCACTGGCACTGGTTGCCCAGAGAAGCTGTGGCTGCCCCATCCCTGGAGGGGTTCAAGGCCAGGCTGGATGGGGCTTGGAGCAACCTGGTCTGGTGGGAGGTGTCCCTGCCCAGGGCAGGGGGTCGGAACTCAATGATCCCTTAAGGTCCCTTCCAACTCTAACCATTCTATGATTCTATGAGACTGGAAGTATTGCTGCAGATCCTCTACCACTTAAAAACTGGGGGGAAAAAAAAGTAAAATAAAATTCACACAAGAGAGGTAAACTGGAAATGTAAAAATTCTTACAAGAGACTTCAACCAATGCACAACACCTGTAGATTGCATCATTTTTTTGTAACAACCCTCCAGCCAAAGACAAAGGTTACACAACCAAACATACTCAGGTAAAATACATCTCCCCAAACACCAGTCCCCTGAGTCCCGCAGGCAACACAATGCCCTAAGGGAAGTTCTACCTACAGAAAACCCAACAGCTGCCCTGGAGACCAACAGGCAGAGCAAACAGGACATGGTCTACACCACGCTACCACCACAAGATGACTGAAGGGGAAACCAGTGCCAAGGACCACTGTCGGGTCCTCGGTATTAAAAGTAAAGCCAGAACACTCATTTTGCCCAGGACCATGGAAGCAAACCATCTCTCAAGGCTGCTTACTCTACTTCACGCTGATACTAGGGCCTGTCAAAGCAACACTAATCCAGTTTAAGACTCCTCAAGCCAGCTCGAGCCAGGAGCACTGCAGAGAGAATGCACTATTCCATATGCTATTTACTTTCTGCCTCACAAGGTGATTCCCATCTTTGCCGGAGCAGGAGCTGGGAGGGGGGGAACATTAAAGCAGATTATAAGATGAAGAGCTTTAGGATACTGGAGCAGGATCGCAGAAAAGAGCAGCTCTGAAGCCCTGGGAATGAGGGCGTCACCATCATTATTGTGCATTTTCACCCCACAACTACAGTGTTATGTGACAAAGTGAACAACCATGACATTTGGAGTTTTCAGGGACCTCAGACTTCATAGGTCAGACTACAAAGAGATTTTTCCATTGTTTACCTAACACTGTAAAAACAAAAGAACTTTTTCCTGTACTAGTAAAATATGTAAATAAAGGGGAGGGAGGGGCTTATACTTTATTAGTATCATAACAACCTTAAAACAATTAATGCATATTCAGGGTGAAAATGACAAGAGAAGTGAACACTCAAGCCAGAGCAGAGACTAACTAGGCATGGAGAAAACTATCTTAAAGCAATTAATGCATATTCAGGGTGAAAATGCAAGAGAAGTGAACACTCAAACCAGAGCAGAGACTAACTAGGCATGGAGAAAACTAGGTACAACTCAATCCTGTTGCAATAACCCTGTTATTCCAGTCCCAGACATACCCAAAACAGGAACGTCGATTGTGCAAAAGAAGCCCAAACTGACTCAATCCTGTTGCAATAATCCTGTTATTCCAGTCCCAGACCTACTCAAAACAGGAAACATCGATTGTGCAAAAGCAGCCCAAACTCGACCAAACACAAAAGGTTTGCTCATTACCTTTCCTAAGAGGTGTCTTAAAAAAAAAACCTGCATGCTGTTGGTGCAACCGGGTGACCGTCATCCCGACCACACTGTTTTCTCCTAACACTCCTGGAGGCCATTTCAGCTTCCACCCACCCCAAGAGCAGAAACCACCAAAGCCACTACGGGCCTCGCTGCTTTGGATTGACTTTTCCAGCCCTTTGGGAAGCTTCTGGATTCTAGGCAGCATGGAAAGCGTGTGAGATGCTGCACACACAGCACCAGGGCCATGACAGATAGCCTGGTGAGGCAGCACAGCAGCTGTCCTGAAAGACAGCCCATACAATTACAGTATCTAATCAGCAGAAGGAACA